CCCAGAAATCATACCTGACTTTTTTTTTTAAAATGTTGGGGTTTGTTTGTTTTTTTTTTAAACCAGTATTTTTAATCCTGAAATAGTCAGCTAATGGATGTGTGGGCTGAGATGGGCATCTGCCATGAAGGGTAATGCTGCTGGTTTTTGAGGGAGAGTGTTTGATCCCAGCAATAGCAATGTGGAAATGAACTGGTGGGAGAAGAGCTGGTGTAAAGGTCAGGAGAACAGGGGGACTGAACTCCTGTGGCAATGCTGTGTGTAGCTCTAACTCCCGGTCTCTTTCCTTTTTTCTTTTTTTTTCCTTCCACAACAAACGCTTTCCAGAATCTAAGACAAGAACTTGATGATCTTCTACAAGAAAAAATAGAAAACCCCCACCCCGTGGACTGGAACGACACGAAATGCAGGGACACAGCCGTGCTGACAGCGATCATAGACTTGATCACCACGCAGGAGAACGAGGGGCTGCGCAACTACGCCCCGCGCTTCCAGGGCGAGCGCTGCAGTTGACACACCGGGGCTGCCCCGCAGACAGCAGAGCCACCTTTTTTATCATAGCATTTCTTTAGCTAGAGGAAACACTTTTCTAGGGTAAGCTGGCATTTTCCTCATCCCGAAGAGCAGTTCCTTGGGTAGTTGGCAGTGTCTGTATATGCATGTGTTCTGTGTCCAGTGTAGCTCCTGAAGTGAGGGAAGGGCAGTGTTGGGTCATGTATGGTTCTTGTCCTGACGTAGCTGTTTTTGTTGGGTTTTTACCCACCAGGTAAGAGATATTTGAAAAGCCTGCTAAAATACTGCTTAGTAATACCTAAACCGTTCTTGCTGCTGGAGAAACATCTCAAAAGACTTATTTTTTTTTTAATTGGGGGTGGTGAGTAATTACAGTGGCTGTGTTATTCCAGCTGTGCAGCAGTCTGCTCACCAGCACTTCCACAGAAGGTAATTACAGCGTAATTAATCTAAACTTGAAAACACTTGTTAAATTTGTACTGTGGGAGGAAACAATCTTCAGAAATATTCTCTTCTTCTGCCTTTCATCCCATTCAATTAATCTTTATTCACTTTCTGTCCCCATCCAACCTCACTACTGACAGAAATTGCAGCTTACAGGAAGTATGGTTAGATAAAAGGCACGGTGGAATATGCTTCAAGGTTCATTGCATTCAAGTTTTTTGATTTTTT